TTTCTTCCTTCCTTCCTTCCTTCCTTCCTTTCTTTCTCTTTCTTTCTTTCTTTTCCTTCCTTCCTTCCTCCCTTCCTTTCTTTCTTTCTCTCTCTCTCTCTCTTTCTTTCTTTCCTCTTTTTATTTGGTTAGTCATGGGGCTTGATTTCTAGGCCTGGGCACTGTCCTTGTATTCTTCAGCTCAAGGTGAGCACTCTACCACTTGAGCCACCACAGCACCACTTCCCATTTTCTGGTAGTTAATTGGAGATAAGAGTTTCATGGACTTTCAAAGCCCAGGCTGGCTTTGAACTATGATCCTCAGATCTCAGATTCCTGAGTAGCTAGGATTACAGGCATGAGCCACTGGGGCCTGGCTCAGAGTTTCAGTTTCTTAGAGTTTCCTTTTTCTGAGTTTGATTTTCCTGTCTCTTCCATCTTTTTTTCTGGGTGCAGGTAGAAGACTCCCAGGACCACTGTTAAGAAGCTGCATGTGGATGTGTAGAAATGCAGCCACATCAGAAAGATGCTTTGGAAGCAGGGCTGAGGAGGAAGTGAGGAGGGTAGGCCTCAGCTTTTATTGCTTTCATGATTTCAGTATTAAGTAACCTGTGAGCTCCAAGCCCCAGACCTTTTCCAGTGCAGCCTCTGTGGAGCCCTGCTGTGATTATGTGACATAGGTGCATGGTCAATTTCACAAGTATTCAATGTATCATTTGGTCTGAGAGCCAAAGTCTATCGTACCCTTTCCCAGATGCTAGACTATACACTGCACTTGATATCTGTAAAATCTGGGTTGGGCAGTTTCCTTTCACTGTAACAAAATGCCAGAGACAATTAGTGAATCAAGAGAAAAGTTTTGCCAGGCACCAGTGGCTCACATCCATAATTCTAGCTACTCAGGAGGCTGAGCTCTAAGGATTGCAGTTCGAAGCCAGCCCAGCTGAAAACTCTCTGTGAGACTCTTATCTCCAATTATCCCATTCAAAAACCGGAATCGGAGCTGTGGTTCAAAGAGGCTAGTAGAGCACTAGCCTTGAGCAAAAGAGCTCAAGGACAGCGCTCAGCCCGAGTTCAAGTCCCACAACTGACAGAGAGAGAGAGAGAGAGAGAGAGAGAGAGTTGATTGATTTGGGCTGACAGTACAGAAGGAACATGATTGGTTGGCCTTGTTGCTTTGGACCTGTGGTAGGCGGCAGAGCATGACACTAGCATGGGGCAGAGCAAAACTATCCACCTCATAGCTAAAAAGCAGAAACAGAGCCTCATAATCCCTTGCCCGTCACCCCCCCCCAGAGACCTGAGACCTCCTAAGGGCCCCCACCTCTCAGAGCCCACCACCTCCCAACAGCACCCCACCAGGGACCAAGCCTAGCACACGGCCCTCTGGGGGACATTCAGTACCCAAACTATGGCAGAAGCCTTCCGTTTTAACCATTATTCTGACTTGATTTATATCTTCCTATTAAGAATTAAGGAGGGGAGCCGGGCGCTGGTGGCTCACGCCTGTAATCCTAGCTACTCAGGAGGCTGAGATCTGAGGATCGCGGTTCAAAGCCAGCCCAGGCAGGAAAGACCGTGAGACTCCTATCTCCAATAAACCACCAGAAAACCGGAAGTGGTGCTGTTGCTCAAGTGGTAGAGCGCTCGCCTTGAGCTGAAGAGCTGAGGGACAGCACCCAGGCCCAGAGTTCAAGCCCCACGACCAACAACAACAACAAAAAAAGTAAGGAGGGGCCAGATGGGGTAGGGCATGCCTGTAATCCCAGCTGCTGGAGGCTGAGGCTAGAGGAGCCTGAGAGAAAGCTAGTGTCAGAGTACATCCCAGACCGGAGGGACAGCAACCCTCCAGCTGGCAACACCTGAATACAAGGTGTGGCCACTCCGCATAGCATCTGTCTCCATGTCCCTAGAGATCCACTCCAGTTTGAGTCCCAACTGCCTGTATAACTCACTGCAGAGACCCTTCCTTAGGCCAAGGGCAGGGAGCGGTGTGGAGACCATCCAGATGTTGCTAGGAATTAACTGGGCCTAAGGCCCTTTATAGTTGGAATTTTTTCTTTTTTCTTTTTTTGCTGGGCCTGGGGCCTGGGCACTGTCCCTCAGCTCTTCAGCTCAAGGCTAGCGCTCTACTACTTGAGCCACAGCACCACTTCTAGCTTTTTCTGCTTCTGTGGTGCTGAGGAATGGAACCCAGGGCTTCATGCAAGCAAGGCAAGCACTCTACCACTGAGCAACTTTCCCAGCCCTGATTTTTTTTTTCTGAAGTGAATCGTGGGACTAAGTCAGAAGATCAAGGGTTTCTTCTAGAGTCAGACTGACTGGAGCTAAGTAGCTCTGTGACCGTAGACAGAACACTTGATCCTGGGTTTTTGTTTTGTTTGCTGGTACCAGAATTTATGCTCAAGACCTCCAGCTCACTTAGCTTCCTTGCTCAAATGGTGTGCTTCTGCTTGAGCCATGCCCCAGTTGTGCTTTTTGCTGGTTGTCTTAGAGATGGAATCTCACAACCTTTTCTGCCCAGGCTGATTTTGAATCACGATCCTTCAGATCTCACTTTCCTGAGTACCTAGGATTATCTCTAATTACCAGCAAAAAGCCAGAAGTGGAGCTGTGGTAGAACACCAGTCCAGAGCAAAAAAAGCCAAGCAAGAGATCAAGGCCCTTGAGTTCAAACCCCAGTATTCATAACAACACATAAGCAAAAAGACTTCAATGTCTCATTGCAGCCACCAGCACAGTGCCTGGTCTGGCAGCTGAAGCTCTGGTTTTGCTAGTTCATGCTAATATGCAGAAGTGGACAGGAGGGGATCCTTCTTGGATGCAGGGGGGAAAGGAGGCTTGGAGAGGAAATCTTCCAGTGGTCCAGTGTCTCAGGCTTAGTTTTAAACTGCCTCTGCCAGTGTTCGCTCTGAGAGAAGAGAAACAACAGCGACCTCTGCAGGAGAGTTAGGGAAACTTGGTCAGGGAGACAGAAGAAAAGCTCTCAGTGGAGAACATCAGTTGGTGCACCCACCTTCGCTCTACCTGAAACCGCAAGTGCCATGCGCAAACACAAACCACTTCACGTAAAGCCCCAGCCTCATCCTGGACTTAGAAGCTGAAAGTGTGGCACTCACTCAAGGCATGCGACAAAAGTTGGGTGCCAGCGGCTCACACCTGTAATTCTAGCTACTCAGGAGGCTGAGATCGGAGAATCGCGATTTGAAGCCAGCCCCGGCAGGAAAGTCCATGAGGCTCTTAACCATCAAAAAAAAGCCGAAAGTGGAGCTGTGACTCCACTTGAGCAAAAAAGATCAGGGACAGCACCCAGGCCCTGAGTTCAAGCTCCAGGATCAGCACACAAGCATGTACATGCACACACACACACACGCCTGCCACAGTCATCCTGGGAGGGCTATTCTGTGGATCCACATAGCTGCCACTTGAAATGGCCTTAGTCACAGAGCTGCACTAGTTAAAGTCTCTGTCCGACAGTACCTGGGGTACCAGCCCTATGGAGTTTCCTCGATGTCTCTCGCCCCCATTCAAAGCCCCAGGCTATGTCCGGAGGGTCCAGCCTGCACCACAGCTGTGAAATAAATTTTGGAGTTAGCTCCTGCCGGACGGAGATGAATTCCCCAAACTCAAAGCACAGATGTTGCACATTCTGGGCAGCCGACTAGCTGCAGACTGGAGCTGCGGAAGTGCAGCCTGGCCGCCAGGGGGCGCTCTGGGCTCGAGAGAGAGACGGACCAGTAGACAGGGTCAGAGCCGTCCCTAGCTGGGTGACCCGGGATGGTAAATGAAATCCCCCAGGTCTAGGTGACGCACAGGGGTGGTGTGTACGGCAAATTAAATGATCTCGTGTACAGGCCTTGAAAACTATGCTCAATAATGTTCTGCCTCTCAGGATTTCTGGGACCTATCTGGTAAAGATGGTATTCTCATGGCTTAAGCACCAGCCTTGCAAACATGAAGTCTTGAGTTTAAATCCTAGTATTGCACACATTAAAAAAAAGAGGAGAAACAACGGTGCGGTCTGTATTGCCAGGATACTGCGAGGTAAAGTAGAATACGGTACGCTGCGGTCTCCGCGGGCGGGCGGGCACTGGGGCTGCCCGGCGGCGGCGGGTCTCCGCGGGCGAGCGTCTTCCATGTTCTTCCCCACTCTGGAAGAGCTCCGGGTGCGCCAGGAGAGATTTCAAGGCGAGGATGCGGGTCTTCCATTACGACTCGGCTCGGCGGTCCCGCGAAATTACAGCAACAGCGCAGGGCCAGGCCACGCCCCTCCGCCACGCCCCTCCGCCACGCCCCCCCGTGCCCGGAACAAACATGGCTCCCAGAAGCGCTTCCGCCTTCGTCCACGATGGTGAAGGGGCGGGGCCAGAGGGCGGAAGTGGCCGGTGGTGGCGGAGCCGTACACCATGGCGGCCACGGCCGCCTCCCCGGCGCTGAAGCGGCTGGATCTGCGCGACCCCGCGGCGCTTTTCGAGACGCACGGGGCGGAAGAGATCCGCGGGCTGGAGCGCCAGGTCCGGGCTGAGATCGAGCACAAGAAAGAGGAGCTGCGGCAGATGGTGGGCGAGCGGTACCGCGACCTGATCGAGGCGGCCGACACCATCGGCCAGATGCGACGCCGCGCCGAGGGGCTGGTGGACGCGGTGCGGGCCTCCGACCAGCACTGCGCGCGCCTCCGCCTCCGCCA